AATGTGAATGTGGTGCTGTAATCGGTTGTGGTGTAGGTGTGGGTAACAATGAGAAGAGAGATGCTTTCACCTTTCCTTGTCCAGCTGTTACAAGAAGAGATCTTTGAGAAGAGGATCGTTTGCCAAAACATCTCATCTATCTCTCGAACGAATAATGATTTGAGTAGTAGACCGGGTTGTTGGAACACCTGTGATATCAGCTGGAGATGTGAATGAAGTTTTCTCGACGCAGTTGTATCAGAAGGGCTTCGAAATAATCAACAGAATAGATGTCACGTCTAAAGGAGTAGGTAATGTGGTGGTGGTGGTTCATATTTTGATCAGAAAAGTAAGTAAAACTGAGGAAGACGACTTAAACAGGACAGATCATGACAGATCACAGATTCTCGGCATATACAAGATGAAAAAGAAGAAAAGACATTTTAAGCGGACAAAGAGAAGACCAGAGGAATCTATCCTAACAGTTTTTGACAACAACGGGTAGCACTAGATACCACAACAGACGCTGATGCTAGGAAGTTATATATTACATATGAAATAAGTTATCCCTATCAATTAATTTTTTACAAAAAGGACTTCGTTGATCCAATAACTAGAGTCCATACAAAACACTTTGAACATGTGTGGAGGCACCTTAGAATGTTCCTGAGACTTTTAACAAGACCATGAGGGGATATAATACCATCCTAAAATAGTGGGGAATGTTTGTAGCTCAAGTAGATGGTTATGGTCGTATAATGTTCTTTGAGTTGGTTGTTTAATCGTAGAGCTTTCACCATCTTTCTAGACATCATCAGCACCAACTTCAGTATGAAGTGAGTTGTCAATATCTCTCCGCCAGTGATTCAGTGGTTTACTCTGACGAAGTGGTCTGCGATTGGTTGTTTCCTTCCATTGTTGTGTCATTGTATAGACTTTCCTATTGGTAGTCCCCCTACTTCACTCCTCACCTTTCTGTCTTCTGTCATTTTTCTCATTGATTGATAGATTGGGTCTATGTCTATACACCTATTGATTGCTGACTGACTGACTGACATGAATGCCAAGCTTCTAGGAATTCTCTGATATTCTTTGTGTTTCCTCTCTCCGTTCATGATTTCTACATTGACAAGACTGAATTCATGTTCATAGTTGTTATCCATGTGCATTGAAATGAGTGATGAAATGTCGTATGTGACGTTTAGTAGCCAATTGGTGTTTATGAAGACAAAGGCAAAGATGACGACCACTTTGTCCAATGTAGTGTTGACTGCAGTTATTCCAGTTGCCTTCGTAAATGATGTTTGGTTTGTCTTCTTTGGTTGTTGCATCCTTTGGTCTGCATAATGGTGTTTGGAGGGAATTTGTTGGTTCATGAGCCACACCAATTCCACTCAGTGGTCTTAGTAAACTTGTCATGATTTCTGATATATTCTTTATGTATGGTAGGATGATGCGTTTATTGATTTCTGTCGATGACTTTTTAGTTGATGTTGTACTGGATAGGCATCTGATAACGTTTCGTTGGTAGCCGTTCCTCTTTAGGATGGATATCAAGTAATTTTCTTTGTTTCTCCGTGAAGTTGTTGCACTGCAGTGTGTTTTCGTTCTTTTGAATAGAGTCTGCATGCAACTGATCTTGTGCGTTGTTGCTACTGTAGTTGAGGATTTGGTCAGTGTGTACTGGCTTCCTATATACTTGGGTTGCCAACTTTCCTGGATGACAGTTGGTTGTTTGACTCTTTCTCTATTGTGAATTTGATGTCATTGAAAACGTTGTTGATCAAACTGAGGGTGTTTTCTGTGTCATCTTTTTTAATGATGATAAAAGTGTCTCCTACATAGCGAGTCCAAATTTTCGGTTTGATCACAGATAGAATGATGGCTTCTAGTCTGTGTATCACTGCTTCTGTAATTAGTCCGGATATTGGTGACCTCAATGGAGTTCCTTTCATCAGTTTGCATATCTTACCGTTGAATCAGAAGTATGTTGTCAGACAAATATCGATGAGTTCCATCAGACTTCGACATTTCAGTTTTGTGATACGATCTCACATACATTAGTTGCAATACAGACAGTAGTATGGCTTCAAAGATGATAAACCTATTGGAAATTAAGATGTCTTCATTTCTCATGCAAAGCGTATTTATAATTCGTCAATAAAATACCATTTCTAAAAGTAATTGCTGCATCCTTCATGTGCTCGATCCTGATTGGTCAGTGGATTCTCGAATGTGATTGGCTGTCAGTAAAGTTTATTTGAAGTGACAATATTTAACTCATTTAAACCCTAAGTCACAGCAACAGATAAAACAATTTTGTTAAAAATCATGACTTCAACAAAAGGTTGACTACTGATTATCAGCAGGTTCATACAAAGAAATATGACACGGTTAGCACTCCGTTCGTATACACGGACGAAATGCTAAGATTTTGTATTGAACTGAAAGACTGATGATGATTGAGATCAAAGTACAGACAAGTCACAGGTGTATATTACTGCTATTGTGCGCCTGCAGAATTCATGAAGGAGATAAGGTAATTTTTTAACTTGTATATCCTCGTCGTTGATTGGACCAAGTCGATCGTCCCATATTGCTATGTGTACTGTTGTTTAGATGCCTCGATAATGTCTGTTTTTTAAAATTTCGATACTAATGATGGTTAATGGCTAGCAGCAGAATCCAAGACATGCGTTTCGTCCTATTTACGACTTGCCAGCTGGATCTACTTACACCGCAGTGAGTGATGTTGTTCCCACTAGGACTGGTAACCAGGACCAGTCGCTTGAGACGCCAGAGTATTATCAAGCAGTTGATGACGAGACTCAGCGGATAACGTTTGAAGCGACTGGTCCTGGGTTCGAGGCAGATACATGCAGCTGGCGAGTCTAAAATACCACGATACGCGTGTCCTGGACCCCACTGTTAGCTGCTACCCTTCGTTATTACGAAGAGTGAGACAACGCAATGCTTCCACAAAGTATCAACATGAAATAGTCGCATAACCTTGACATTAGTTACCCAGATATTCTCAATCCAGTGGGGCAAAACACGCTGTTTGAAGAACAATTTTCCACTTTTCGGAAAATACTGAACGATTGAATCAATCTACATGTGTATGCGGCGCCACATACATTGGGCAGGGTAATTGAACTGTGAAGTCAAAGGTGGGAGAGCGTATCATCAAATAGCTAGAAAAACTTTCATGACTTTCAAATCATCCGATAAATAGAGGCAGACAGATGTTATTCTTGTATAGATAAACGCACTATAGAAACAGGTGAGATAACTGACCCTAGAGCAGCCTTCAGACTATTATATAGCAGCCGTCAAGACTGTATACTTAAGTTCATTGGAGCCTTAGCTATACGAAAGTTCAAACCCCGTCTGTGCATTCAAAAACCTACTTTCGCAACCTTCATCTCAGTTTAATGCCAAGGGAGGCTTGAAAATCTTGTATTATCTTAATTTATCTTATCCTACCCTATTTTTATCCTTCATATAAAATGTCGTGGGACAACTAACTATTGCACAAATACATCACATTATACGAATTCATCAGAGACTAATCTAGGAGTAGTATTCATCATGGACTTACATCAGTTAGGTAACCACTGAAAGTCTGGGGGCACTGGACAGCTGTTTCGTCCCAGTACGGGACTCCTCAGCAGTACACACCCACGACCCGGCTAGGGATCGAACTCAGAACCTTCAAGTTCCACTGCGAACGTGTTAACCATTCAGCCACTGGGTCGGTTTCCAGTGGCTCACCATTTCCAACTTCTGTCAATCCATGACATAGCGCGACCGCCTCATTGGAACTTCCTGATATCCATCTGAAAGCAAGTCACTAATGAGCACTATACAGCAATGTATTTTTGAGACGGATGGGGGTTTTTTAATTTAGAAGTAGTATTCATCATGGACTGACATCAGTTAGGTAACCATTGAAAACCTGGGAGCACTGGACGCGTGGGGTCAACCAGTCGGAAATGAAGTGGATGCTAACTGAAGACCTTGAGTGATAGTCACGCTATGTTATGGATTGACAGAAGTTGAAAATGGTGAACCACTGGAAACTGACCCCGTGGCTGAATGGTTAACACGTTCGCCGTGAAACTTGAAGGTTCTGAGTTCGATCCCTAGCCGGGTCGTGGGTGCGTACTGCTGAGGAGTCCCATACTAGGACGAAACAGCTGTCTAGTGCTCCCAGACTTTCAGTGGTTATTTAACTGATGTCAGACCATGACGATTACTACTTCTAAATTAAAAAATCCTCATTCATCTCAAAGAGACTCATTATTATTTCAAAAAATGGTGTACAAATCATATTTATCATTTATTGAACTGAAGTTAAATAAAAATAACAGACAAACAAATCACACAACCGTCTGTTCAAGAAACACAACTAACACAACTAATTTGTATCGAAATCGACTTCAGTGAACTTTTTCAAGTACATGCGTATACGTCTGTATGCAGATGAAGAAAGTAATTAGAAAATGTACAAATAACTGTCAACTCTGTTGGATTATGATATACAAACATAATAATACTTGATTGACATTCAAGTGTATCCTCCATTGATCACTGGACATAGTAACGCTATTTATATTTGAAAAATCAATATTGTGTTCATTTGATGAAGAACAAACAGAAGATGAGAATGATGTACAAATTAATGATAACACACACATATATATTCTAATTTTGTTCAAAACTAAAAATAATATCACAGTTATTTTAAACAAACACTTTTCATCGAATAAGTAGGATTACGAAAAATAAACAAATAAGGATATACATTTATTTACGGTAATAATAAGAAATGAATACCATGACTAATCATCAGGCTGACACATTAAATGATAACACTGTAATTTGAATGAACTCAATTGACCAATCAGCGTAGAAAATAGAAGGCGTGGCTGAAATCAAGAATAAAAATGCAACATGTCTGATATGACCTTGTGTTTCGCGTAAATGAACACCCACGCAGTTATCTATGATTGGACGAATTAGATATCGTGGAAATCTTGCTTAGGTTGTCTTGGAGTACCAGCGTTAGCAATAGTGATGATTGTAGGAACTGAGGACATCTTATTTGCTGCAGTATACGAACGCGGTGAATCAAGCGGTGATCGAAGTCTAGACACAGAAGTATCTGATAACAATTGGTTGTTGTTCTTGTTATCACTGATCTGCGATGGCAACAACCGTACAATATCAGTGTGTTCGGAATCAGAATGATGGTTAGAGATTAATTTTTCAGTACTCAGTTTATCGATCGATAAATGTCTATAATGTAGTGTTCGCATACCGTTTAATGTTGCCTTGAAGGTATGACGACGACAGCGTTTGTTGTGGTCATTAGCTACTGAACCATTTGACGCATAAGGTGAATTTTTGGTCTGTAGCATTGTCCGAAGATGAGTCCAGGACATATTGGAGTCCTCAAAAAACAATGAAAAGCAAAACATAACAAATAAGTACCATAACAACTACAGTAAGTTAGGATTATGCATGTAGGATATGAATTAATCCGTTAAAAGACATCTGAATGCATCAAAAGTATTCTCTCCGATAACAGAATCAATTATTGTCGGGATTCAATTCAAAATAATTCATTATCTAAACGATTATACGGTTTATGTAACACTAAATACGACGTGGAAATGAATCATTTTTATTGTAGTCAATGTGTTAACACACAGTGGAAACCAGAACGCGCGTTTCGTCTCATTCAGAACTTCTCAGCTGGATATAGTTGTACCTCCAATGTGAATGATGTTGTTCTCATTGAAACTCAATCCCAGTATGCATCGCTTCAAAAGTAGATTTAGTTAAGTGTAGTCGTGCTACAAGTCTGTCTAACATCAACATAGGAACAGGCTTTACTGCGTAACTTTCCAAGGTTGCCATATCATATCAACACATCAAGTGAGGATGCAACAAGATGCAATCAATGGTAGTCGAAAGTTGTCAAAAGATACCAAGGAGGATACTGAAACTCAGCTTGACAATTGAGATGAAAATGATAAGTGGATATATCTGTGCCTTGGAGGTCGAATCTGAGCCATACAACCACGACAGAATCTTAAGTTCTGAATGCCTATCCTATTCAGTGGTTCGTAAAAAGGCGATGTGAATAATGATCGCAAAGTGACAAAGAAGGAATCCCAAGGTCTCTGTGAAGTTGATATATGAAGAAGGAGGCATCAAAAGACCTAGATAGAATTCTCAATCACCCTGGGGATTAGCGTGGCATTGAAACCTACAAATTCATCCAGAGACAAAATGTGTCGACTTAATTTCATTGACCAAACACCTTGCAGTGACGGTGGGGATATTGTAGCCGATTGGGGTTAGTCACATTAGCGGATCGAAGAAATCTAGTTCAGTCTATCTGGAGATTTGTGAAGATTTATTAGCTGATTTCTCACCATTACGATCCGGTGGTCACTGGCTCGAATCCGGCTGCGGTCCGGATTTTCATCTCACCTTCAATTATCACCCAATATAAATATTAGTCTGCCAAACTACGGCTATCTCAGATAGTCAAATGATAACTATTCTAATCATTACTTTTTGTTTACCTAACACTTATGTTCTCTTAGTGTGCACCTTTATCAAGCTATCGAGTTGACTACTACTAATTGTTCCGTTGCATCCTTCCGCAACCTAATCTCAGCTCTGTTTGAATGATTCACTCCATGTTGGCATGCCTCAGTCAATGTCTTAGTCTGCTGCATTATGTGTGTATGTATTCCTTTATTGCACAACAGTAATGTTTCTGGATTACGGTATTACGTGGGTTCTAATAATATATGAACGGGATAATCACGCAACGAGATACCTAGACTGGATACGGGTAATACGACTGTTCTCCCCCACACCCTATATTCCACTGAGCCGCGGAATCAGAAGACAAAAGACGGTCTGGGACTGCAAGAACAACAACAACTTTACTAGACAAACACATGATATATATATATATATATATATATATATATATATATAAAACCCTCAGAAAATGAAGCCACAAATAAACCAATCCGATTGGTTGTATGACTTCGAATTTGTCCAATCACGTTATCATAACAGTACATGCATAAATCATGATCTGAAAACAACTTCTCTATTGGCTGCCTTTTTATTGCTACCTATCAAACAGTATGTAGATGATGCATGTAGAGTATCCAGCTGACAAGTTCCACTGAAATTTATGGATTCAATAAATCCTAGTTATAATAAAGATGCATAGTGGCTACCAGTGGAATCCTGAATGCGCATTTGGTGCTATTTAGAACTCATCAGTTGTAGTGGATAACGCTCTGGCGTTTGATACGGTCGCTCCGGGGTGTGGATCCTGGTGGGGACAACATCACTGACTGGGAGGCAGGTACATACAGCTGACGAGTCCCAAATAGGACGAAATGCGCACATAATTAAAACACAGGCAATATCGATGCATCCTACACAGGAGCCCATATGCCGACAGAGACCGATCAATTGGGTTCAATCAACGACGGTATAATACAAGCAATATCAATAAATCCTGCTTTGATTACGTTTGTTGCGTGTTTTAAACAAAGCTTGTTTCTAAACGAGTTTCTTGGATTAAATGCCACTTCAGTACTAATCAAATCAAAGAATGAATAGAAAACTTCTTCAATTTTGTGATGCTCTAAAAAAAAACAGGGCAACCTTATTCATCACCTCAGCAACAATTAAAAGAACCAATCAGATTTCTTTATTTGAGTTTGAAAAGCAGCTTTTCAATTGTTACTAAAGTGACCTTTAAAAGGCTATAAATTTACATCGAAACACACATACACACACAAACATATACTCACTCACCTTCCACACAGTTATCATAAAGATGCCTAATACAGTGAATATCAAGCCAAGTATTAAACCCACATAATCTATATATTCTAATGTATTCAATTCATGGAAGAGGATTGTTGATGCAATAATCACAAAACCCGTGAAGAACACATATAATAATGGTGTTATTATCCCAGTATTGAATAAATCTAATGCACGATTCAAATAATACATTTGTATAGTGATTGCACCAATCAACCAAATAATTAGAAACCAAAAGAACCAAAATGATATTATTGGTAATAATCCTGTACTGAATGAATTCTAAGTGTAGAAGTGAAAAACAATAAAAACAAAAAGGCAAATTATTAACAATATATATCATGTTGATGAATACCGATAAGGACGAAACTCAAGTTGTCAATCGACTTCCATTATCTAAGAACAGACACATGGATTCCGAAATATTAACATGCTGTTGCATTAGACAGCGAGGCATATCAATTTTGTAAGGGTTATCCAAACTTCGATAGATTGAGTGGGTTTCGAACCACAGACTGATTGGTCGAAACCTAGTAGCCTAGAGTAATGAATAATCAGCCCTATTTGTTTTACTTAGCTTGGAAATTTGATCGATAAACTTCAGAATCAAGTAGTTATATCGATGACTAACGTCTTCTAACTGGTCTGTGTATAGAATCAATAAGATTAATGGTAGCGTCTTCGGTACCTTTGAGTATCCGATTGAGTGTTTAAAAAAAATCCAATCCAGATTTACTAAGATTTAGAAACGCCTTAGCATTAAATGAATCCCTCCCCCCCCCACTTCCTTTATAAATGATGTAGAAATTGAAATTCAACTACATGATCGCTTCCATTCTGAGTTACCCATCTCAGAGGATTACTTCAGACCTATTGTAGTAGGCGTTGCTGATTAGAATGGAGATAAGTAGCATACATTAAGAGGTCGGCAGAAATCATAGGGAATTACCAGCAACGGGTAGGTTTCTGCTAAGAGAAACGCAAACGATAACGCAGGCGTATGAAGAGCAAACCAAGAGAAAAGCAGAAGACGAAATGAAGCATATTATGCAAATGACTACTGTACCACCTTTAACAATAAACATTCCTTTCTTTGTCTCCGTCTTGTCGTTTTCTACAATATGTATCGCTGCTTATGGACGTGATGAAGATTTCATTGCCTGCAGTGTTCCAGGATGGAGACATCAACATCTCCTCAGCGACTTACACTCGGTCAACCAACTGGTGCGTCTCCGGATCCACGAGAGAAGCTTATGGTACTTGACACGTTGCTCACGGGTAGAGTGGAAGCAGCATATAACAACGTGGAACCTAGGGATGGGAAGGCGACTCGACACAGAATGGTTGAACCAATGGAGATGGAGTTTGATAACCCAGAGGACAGGGAGCTGGTGATGTAGCAGTTCCGGAACACAAAACTCCCAATAGACGAAGACCCGCTGCTACTCACTCTCAAGTTGACAAATCTACTTCGACAAGCACTTCCCAATCTCGATGACGACTCACAGGCATAATTGCTGACTGCACAGTTCACTGAAAGTGTCCCGAATGCCATCGCCTAGCACCTACGACCAATAACTGGAAGTGACAAGACGACAACCTTCAGGAGGAGGTGGCTGCACTTCGAATGAATATCAGCAGACAGAGTAAAAGCTTTGCATGCGGAAAACTAGGGCATTGGCAAGAAACCTTACCCATTGCTGGTAATCCCTTATGATTTCTGCCGCCTTCTCATATATACTACTTATATTCATTCTTATCAGCAACGCCCACTACACTATGAGTAACGGGTTGGAACTCTGCTCCACTTACCGATGTGTGGGAAGCCTCTATTACACAATAGATGTGGTCCATTGACTGTTGCACAGGGTTAGCGATTGGATTTTGATTTGCTCTAATTCATCGGTGACTGGGACAAGAAAATCGAAGAACTTAGAGATATTAGGTTTCCAAGTTTTTATGTTTCAGTGATTTGCTGTATTCTACATCAGGTTGCATTAATCGTTCGGTAGGACGTCTGCTGCTAATCATTCACATGCTCTGTACTAGATTACGTAACCAAAGGGATTGAGTGCAGTTGTGAATTAGTGAAATATATTTGCCTTCTTTCTTTAGGTCAGCTGGTGTTACGTTAATGGTGGTTAGGGTCAGGTTAGTACATACCAACCCGATGTAATAATAATCGATAAATAAGGGTTTCCTAGTTAGATTACTTTGTTAATTAGGGAACCAAAGTGGATACCAAAGTCGAAGTTACGACCAGCAACAGCTAGCACATACGGCATCTGCTGAAAACTATAGACAATCCTATAAGGAACTCCTAACATCCTTATTTCATTAATCTTTATTTGTTTTTAAGCTAATAGTCATCGGGAACTGACATCAGTTGGAGAAGTATTGAAAACCTGCGAGCATTGGAGAGGTATTTCATCCTGGTATAGGACTACTCATCATTACTACATTACAGCATAGTGCTTATTAGTGATATTCTTTGGAATGGATATCCTGTGGTTCTGATGAAAAACCATGACCTATGGGGTCAACCAGTCGGAAGTGAAGCGGATCTCAACTGAAGATCTTCGTGGATAATCGTCTCATATCGCAAACTGGCAGAAGTAGGAAGCTGTGGACTATTGAGCTTGGTTAACGCGTTCGCTATGAAAATTGAAAGTCCTGAGTTCAGGGCGGGGTCGTAAGTGTAAACTATTGAGGAGTTTGATACTAGTTCTCTAACTCATATCAGTCCATAATGAATACTATCGTAAAAATAAAATCCCCATTAACTTCAAACTTCATTACTTTATTTGTCTGTTTATACTCTCCTCTCACAGCATATACTGTGCTTTATTTCAGTATTATCCTTTTTCGGTTCCCTTTTCGTGTTCTTTTTTACATATGGCTTATACAAATACGAAATACTGACCAATCAAACTCAACCTACACCCACACATTTGTAGATCGACCAATGAGGTTGGAGTTAGACAAAAACATGAGATATAAATACTCATTCACAAGTAAGTGGATTCATAGTTTTGCAAATTCGTACCAACAACAGAGTGAAGCATACCAGTAAACTGTTCACAATCAAAATTATAACTCAACAAATTGTTCAAATTTAAATCGATGAAACATAATCCAGTATTCATCGACAGTGTGTATTTTGTGAAAAATTGCTTGAATTGACCAATCTTTTCATCAAATGAAGTCATTGAAAACCAGTAAACAATAGAGTTTGTTTTGTCCTGAGGCGACAGTCATCAGTATTTTTCGCCTCTTCTCCGTACTATCACCTTCGGGAATCGAGTTCACCAACGGCTTCATGTATTGTATGATATCTCTTCAACCTCTAAACCATGATACTGAGTTAGAATTAGTGGTACAATGAGATCAATAAAGGTGAATGACATTAGTTAAAAGGTATAAAAGGTAGACAGATATAGAAATAGATAATATCACCTTTAATCCAACACCAACACCTTTACAAGCGATAACTGACAATGAACCAATACTTCCACTAATCAATGTGAAGATAATTGGATTTGTTTTGCCATAACGTGGACCCAAAATAAAGATCAACACAGATGATAAGAGTATGACGAATAAACTGTAGGCAATAAAGGCTGAGTAAGAGAAAAATAGCAGGACAAACAAAAAAACAGATGAACAAGAAAGTGGCTTAGCTCCATATACAGCTCAGATGAACAATCAAGGGTTATATGGGCAGGTGTACGTCTTTATTTGAAAATCCCAAGCTTCCTTTCACATTACTAGCATCCAATGATTACAAACCTAGTCAATATGAGTGGTAATTTATCTGGTGCACATAAAATTATAACTTAACTACACTAGTTGGTAAAAACTTGCAATCTCCCCTGAATGACTCTTAAATTTATCCACAGTTAGTGTTCTTAGGACACCAGTGATGGGTATCGATAGTCAAAGATTGATTCATTAGAGATAGGCAGACATCGGATTTCAGATTGTGGTTTATTGGTGTAGGGAGTTGACTTTCAACCAATGGGGTCACAGGTATAAACACCACTCCACCTACACCGAGGTTTGGTTAGCCAAATAGCATTAGCATCAACCTTCTTTGGACAATAGGTGTGACTCATGGTTACCCTTACTGTATGAATGTGAACAAGGTTGTTAGGGGGATTCCGGTTTCAGATTAAAAAAACATGACAATAAATGTAGTAAAGATGTATAGTGGCAAGCAGTGGAATCCTGGATGCGAATTTCATCCTACTTGGGACTTTTCAGCTGGATGTACCTGCCTCCCAGTGAGCAACGTTGTTCCCACCGGGATTTGAACTCGGACTTGGTAGTGGATAACGCTCTGCAATTTGAAACGATCGCTCCCGAGATCGAATCCCAGTGGGAACAACATCACTCTCCGGCAAGCAGGTACATCCAGGACGAAATGCGCATCCTGGATTCCAATGCTAGCCACTATCCATCATTACTGTAGTTAGAACACAGGTGATATCGAGGCATCCCACACAGGAGCCCATATGCCAACAAAGACTAGTCAGTTGGGTCCAGTCAATGACGGTATAATACAAACAATTATATTAACAATAAATGGGTAAAATTTGGGCACTATGGTAGATTGTAATTCCATTTTAGTTCGTTTATTATAAATGTCATTTACTGGATAACGTCTCGAACACAATTTATTGTCCACATTCATATCAGGTAGGTAACTCCAAAACTTTCAGACACAGTTTATATAGTCCTAATTCTCTCTCCTTCTTTGCGATGACAAGAGTAGTAGAATTTTCCATATATCTGGGACAGGTGCACAATCATTCCTGTTGCATGTATTTAGTGTCGATTCAATAAGCAAAGATTCGGTTATCAATCTCTCCTTCCCTCCACCCAATTAAGTAACTTTTTAATGCTGTCGCTCTATCCGACCAATATTGTATGATTGTGTCCAAATGCGTGTAGACCCATAGCGGAGCTTTTCTCTAGATTTCTTATCTTATTAACATCAACTAACCTTGATTTAGATGAGATTTTCTGTTTTGTTATTCTAATCGACCCTGGTCGACTACTTTGACCTATGTATTTGACCTCACACGTCAGGCCAGGTCGTCGAGTGGAACGCAAAGGGGAAACGATAAGTTGGGTGTCCGAGGGTGACATGGAGGAGATCACGTGGTGCCAGGTTGCAAAGACTGCAGAGGAGAGAGTGAAATGGTGAAGTGCTATTGCAGCCCTATGTTCCACTACGAACGCAAAGGACAATAATATAATAATAATAATAATAATAATTTGACCCCACAATCATTGCAAGGGATTTGGTAAACCAGAATATTTTGCTTAATTGCATCAATAGGATCTTTTAGCCTAAAAAGCTTGGTTTAACCACCAGCCACTTTAATCCCAGCAGCCTTAATACGAATCCTTTGTAATGCTTCTGAGGTGCCTTCCTTGTATGGCAACACAGTAGACGTTTTGAATTCTCTCTCAACCCTATCACCATTATTATCATTGGTAGTAGAATTATTATGAATAACATCTGTATCACTATTACTGCCAATTGGACACATCAAGAATACCTTGTGTCTCAATAATTACCCAACTAAATTTATCAATAAATTCATTAGGGCTGGGATTAGAGTGGCAACTGAACCAGCAAACTAGCTTAGAAACAAGCTTTGTGTACGCCAAAAAAATCCTATTGTGATACAATTAAGCAAAATAATCTGGTTTGCCAAATCCCTTACAGTGATTGTGAGGTCATAGGTCAAAGTAGTCAACTAGGGTTGGTTAGAATAACAGAGCACAAAAACTTAACTAAATCAAGGTTAGTTGGTGCAAATAAGATAAGAAATGTAGAGCAAAGCTCGGCTATAGCTTTGCATGCGAAGACACACAATTATACAGCAGGGTGGGGGATAGAACAAGAGTGTTGGAAACTAACGTAGTTGGATAAAGGGAGGAAGAGATTGACTACCTAATCTTTGAAAACATTTGTTTCCCCATACAAATTTGAAACAAGCGACGAATGTGTGAAAAAAAGCAGAGTTTAATGAATTCACAAATTTCAGTAGTACTCATCAGCCGCATACTCTTTACATACACCTGATTATATATACCGTTAAACAATGCGAAGAACTTACATGCATACATACATAAATAACGTAGACTGAGACATCGATTTAGGTGTAATAACATAGAAGTGAAGTATTTACAGGTGAAATGGTAATGCAAAGGATAGAGATGGATATTCAAAATTGAATGGATTGAGGATAAGTTAATTGAGTTTGGATAATGATGGATTTCAAGTATGAGAAAATAAGGATAATAACAATGACTGAAGGTGAGATGAAAAGTTGGACGCAATGGGATACGAACGACAGACCGTTGGGTTTCCGACCCAATACTCTACCATCTATCTCACCTTCAATCATCAAACTAGTATAAATACTAGTCTGCCAAAATATGATTATCTCAGATAGTCAAATGATGAACAACAATAATAATGTTGATACAGGGGATGACAAATGAATCGACTGAGCGTCGATTATGTCACTGAAAACAAGATAGTTAATTACTATTTATTGACATACTTGTTATTCTCTGTTGCTTTGTTGGATCAAATTGTTCGACCTCTATGGACATATGGGCTCCTATGCGGATACCTCGATATTGCCTGAATGTTAATTATGATAAATTGATTGGTTAGGGCTAGCAGAAGAATCCAGGACGCGCGTTTCGTCCTATTTGGGACTCGTCAGCTGGATGTACCTGCACCCTAGTGATGTTATTCTCACTGGGACTCGAACCTCGTACCCATCGCCTCAAACGCCAAGGCGTTATCCACTATGGTACTACTTATGCAGGCGTAATAAGAAAACCAGGTGTATATTGAGATGAACAACAATAGTGATAGGAATAAGGTTAATTATTATTATTATTATTTGTCCCTTGGGTTTCTAATGAACATAGTAACTCAGTAGCACGTCCCCATTCCACTCTCTTCTCTCCAATCTTTTCAACCTGGCTCCATCACTGCCCACAAGCTCTCATTTCCTCCTCACACGATCTCCTCCATCTCACCCTCAACTGGGATGCCCAACTCGTCGTTTCCATTTGGGTTACACTCCAGGTCCTGGCCTCAGCGTGATATCCCCAGTCGGCCTTCTCAGTGTATGCCCAATCCATCTCCACTTCCTTCCAGTGCATATTTGTTGAGTGATATCTTCTTGCTTCGTTGGTTCGTTGCCAGACAGCCAGAGTTCCTCCTTGATTATTCTCATTATTCTCGCCATCTGATCTTCAGTAACGAGCCAGTGTAGGTGGCAGTTGTTGATGAATATCTGTAGTTTGTTGGAAATGCCTTTCGTAATGCGTCAAGTCTCTGAACCATACAGAAGCACTGATTTGACGTTGGTGTTGAAAATCCGGATCTTCTTCCACATGCTGAGTACAGAAGATCTCCACACTGGTTTCAGGTTAATGAACTCCTGTCTTGCTTTTCCGATTCTGACTTTGACATCCTCGTCAGTGCAGCCTGTAGAGAGTATGCAGCTGATGAGTACTACTGAAATTTATGAATTCATTAAACTCAGCTTTTTTTTCACACATTCGTTGTTTGCTTTAAACCGAATCTTTGTTTATCTAATCAACACCATACACATGCAATAATCCCAGATATATGGATAATTCTACTATCTTCATCATCACAATGAAGAAGAAGAAGGAGAAGAGAATTAGGACTATATAAACGGTGATATTTTATCATAAACAGAAGAAAAATGAATACATGACACAGAAAGTATGACACGGAATTAATGTGCCAAAAATACACTATCATAACCTGAAATGAAGACTGACCATTTGTATGTAAAAGACGTACACGTATAGTCGTCTTTGAGTCTCTCTCTATACCTTGACCTTAACTTAATATGTTCTTAGTTTGGTTTGTTTTGTTTTTTCTTTCTTTCGACTACTTTTTTTTAGCAGATTAGTCTTGGTACTCTTCCTGATAATTGCTACTTTCAATCAACCATTTTCATTCTACCTTAATTCACCTCTTATCTTATTCATATTACCTAATCCTCCGAGTGTTCATGAGCTTTACTACATTTTCGCTCCTTTGTAATCTATATGCATCTTATAAAAAGTTTAAAAACCCTTTCTACTATTATTCAACCTTCACGTCAACAGCTAGCAACATTATTACAATTAATAATAATAGTATAGTTGGTACTACTGATAAAAATGGATATAAGTACTATATTATTGATGGATAGTGGCTAGCAGTGGAATCCAGGATGCGCATTTTGTCCTGTTTGGGACTCGTCAGCTGGATGTACCTGCATCTGCACAGTAGCCTATATGCCAATAGTGACCGATAAATTCGGTCCAAACAACGATGGTATGATATAAAAACCATTATACCAATAAGTAGTATATGTTGAGAGGCCGGCAGAAATCATAGGGAATTACCAGCAATCGATAAAGATGCTATACACAGAAACGCAAAGACAACGTAGGTGTACTAAGAGCGAATCGAGCTACAAGCAGAAAAGGAAATGAAGCACATTATGCAAATGACTATCATAGTGGAAAGTGCACAATATTTCACCACTAAGATGTCTCGGTC